TTAACTACCTGCCTGGCACTTAGTTAAGGGGTTTTATTCCCTCCCTAACTTCAGGGGAAAATCTCTACCTGGAGAAACAACCTTTCTCGGAGAGGTGACCTTGATTAAAACACATAGTGCCAAGAAGGTGAGCAAACAGTAAGAACAGTATGCCATATATGCCAGGTCCCTTGAAACAGCAAGGATGGACCGGCTCCCGGCAAACCTCCAAAGTACACTTCTCAGGAGGGGGAATGGGCCCAGCAAGAAGGGGGCCAGAGAACGAAGGAAGGCTGGTGGATACTTCCAGATCATAGTGTCTATGTCCCAGAACAGTTTGCCCATAAGGTCGTCCTCCAGCAGCATGAACTCACTCATTTAGGAAAGGCTGCCCTAGAAGCTTTGTTAGGCAGGTGCTACCTAATGGCCCGTCTTCCCTCCTTGTGTGCCTGTCTCTCAGCGTTGCCTCCTCTGTGCTCAGAACAATGCCAAACAGGGTCCTGTGGGACCGGTAGGAGTCCAGCGCTGTGGGCAAGCTCCTTTGAGGACTTAGAAGTAGATTTTACAGAAATAGGGCCTAGCAGAGGGAATAAATACCTGCTAGTCTTTGTTTGCACCTTTTCAGGCTGGGTCGAAGCATATCCCACTCACACGGCGAGAGAAGTCACTAAGGCATTGCTGAAGGATATAATTCCATGGTATGGAATGCCTCTGGCTATAGGGTCTGATAATGGCCCAGCCTTTGTAGCAGAAATTGTACAACAGGTAGCTAAGGCTTTAGGAATTAAATGGAACCTATATACAGCCTGCACCAGGGACCACTTACACCTGAGACAGACTGCAGAACAGCCCACCAAAGGTGGAAATCCAAATCAAACACAGACGGACAGAAGGACAGCCTCACTGAGCAATAAGAGTGTCATACAGAAACAACTACAAGGACTTGGAAAAACTGTCTTTGAGGTCCACAGGTGGGTTACTGACCGACTACCCATCTCTCTAGGAACAGCCGTGCATCCTTATAAACCTGGAGACCAGGTTTGGGTAAAGGGTTGGAAAAAGGAGCCCCTCAAGCCTACCGGGAAGGGGCCCTATCCAGTCATATTAACCACCCCCACAGCTCTCAAGGTTGCAGGACTGAACACCTGGATCCACCACTCCCGGGTGAAGGCAGCCCACCAGCCAAGCAATGCCCAGCCTGAGTGGAAGGTGACCTCTGACCAGAACCACCCCCTGCGGATCACCCTTAAGAAGACAGCAGACCTAGCCGATCAACCTGCTCCAAGGAATTCGGATAACACCCTGCTGAATTCTCCTTAACACTAATCTTTCTTTCTTATCTCCTCCTAAAGGTAATATGCTCTGGTAATTCTGGATAATCATTGGTTTTATCTTTCTAATAATTCTCATTTTGTCTTTTTATGAGTGCTGCTGGAACCCAAGGCTAGTACCAGGAGGAGAACTCATCTGCTCTTGCTGGGACACAGAAGCACCATCCGAGAGGGGCGCTGCCAGGGAGCCCTGCGCTCTCAGCGCGATTTGCCGCCGACCCGGACCGCGGGAGCCGGAGCCCGCGTTCACCTCCCTCCGTGAGGAAAGGGCTCCGGACGGAAGGGGCGGACACCTGTCAGACCGAAACCAGAGCCGGGCTCACTTCCTCCTGCGCCAGGACATTCTCACACCCCACGGGTCCGCGGGCAACGCTGCGGCCAGTTGGGGGCGGGGTCTGCTTGCATCCTGCTGTGAGGCCTCAGGCGGAGTATGACGTAACCTGCAGCCTGGAAATACTAACCAGGCACCTTATATGGACCAACATTGAACCGCCAAATACCCTAAGCCCTTGTCCTATATGGACCATGCAGTAAGCCACCAATCAGTGTGCGCCGAGTACACTAAGCCCCCACCCCTTCCCATTCCGCCCCTCAGAAGGCTGCCCACCCTGCACGTGCTGCTGTTCTCCCCTGCGAGGCAGCCCGGCCAGTGCTTCTCCTCTGATAAGCCCGCAGTCCTGGTTTTCCGCCTCTGTCCTTTCAGTTGGAGCCGGGCTGGGGGTTGGGGTGGGGGGTGGGCTTGGAGCCAGCTCGCAGGCAGCACCACATTTCTGGAAATCTCTCCTATGGCAACAGGCGTGTTAGTGTGATGACCACAGAAAAATAAACAGGCTGTGGCTTAAGGTCACGCACAAGCTACTTTCATTTCCTCTGGTTCCGCCCCTTTTGCCTCCATCCATCTCTTCCTGGTTTGGGGGTTCACTCTCATCTTCCCCACCGTCACTTCCCTGACATCCATCTGCCTGGGCTCCCACACCCCTGGGCGCGGGCTGGCTCCGCGGTCCTTGCTGTAGGCCCTCTCTCCCAGGACCCTTGTCTCCCCGGTTCCCTTGGTTCTTCTGGGTCTTCTAGCCCCAGTCAGTCTCCAGGGCTCCCTCTCAGCCTCCGCCTCCCCCTCCCCCTTTTTTACTCGGCAGGACCCTTCCTAGCTCTTCTCCTCTTTTTACTGCAGATGCAACAGTAAACGTTTTCATTAAATGATTTTGATCTCTTTTGCATTTGTAGTTTAGAGGTTACTATATTTTGCTATTAAAATGAACAAGAAGAATATTTACTTAAAACTTTCGGTGTGAATTTGATCACAGATTCCCATGATCTGTGAAAAGACCTAAATTTCTTGCCTGGCTGACGTGGCTCCGTGGTTTAGTGTTGACCTATGAACCAGGAGGTCAGTTCAATTCCAGGTCTTGCAGGCTCCATCCCTAGTGTGGGCGTGCAGGAGGCAGCCAATCAATGACTCTCTCATCATTGATGTTTCTACCTCTCTCTCCCTTCCTCTCTGAAATCAGTAAAAAAAAGGTTTTTAAAGAGAGAGATGAGGCCTATGTCTCCAACCCTGGAAGCGAGTGGCCCCCATGACTGTCCAGCAGGCAGTGCAGTGGTCACAGTGGCCTGTGGGCAAGTCCAAGCCTCTCACATAAAACAAAATAAAATCTCCTCTAGTCTAGGAGGTTCCCCGCGTGTCCCTCAGGCTCTGACTATAGCAGCGCTTTCAGAATCTGACATATTAGGAAGAAAAGGGATTGACTGGGCGGGAACTGGAGGCAGGCCAGCCGTCCCAGCGGAGACACACGGCCACGCGTGGGTCATGTGGCTGCTCTTTGGCTGCCATAACAAAGCACCACAGGTGACGTAGTTGAGACAACAAACCTTTATTTCCTCACAGTTCTGGGGGCTGGAAGCGTGAGGTCCAGCTGTTGTCAGGGCTGGTTTCCCCTGAGGCCTCCCTCCTGCGTAGAAACTGTTGTCTTCTCTGTGTCCTCACATGTCGGCCCTGGGCATGTCTGTCCTGATGTCTTCCTGGGGACACCAGTCTTACCGGATGAGGGTCCACCTTAATGTCCTCATTTTAGCGTAATTACCCCCTGAAATGCCCCATCCCCAAATACAGTCACATGCTGAGCCACTGAGGGTTAGAGCTTCAACGTGTAAATTTGGGGAAAACACAGTTTAGCCCATCACACTGGCTCGAGGTGGGAATAGGGGCGTGTGGCCCCTTGGGTTTCTGTAGGGGAAGCAATAATTACTTCCTATTAGGCTACTCAGGGTCGGGACTCCCCCAGAGAGAATGAGATGCTGGTAAGAAAGGGGGGCTTCCGGTCACCGAGATGCTTAAAGGACTAGTGGTTCACTAGGGCACTCTTGTTTCCTCTCGGGCTTCAACCAGCACTTCTCAGGCTTCTGTCCCCCAACCCCGGCCCCTGGAGTGCTCAGCGAATACCCTCCGAGCCTCCCAGGGCCGCGCTGGGCTGGGCTGCAGCCCTTCGCACTGTGACTTCCCTCCCTGAAGAGGGGGCCTCCGGGCTCCCCCTTTGTTTTTCTCGTAGCCCCTCCTCCCGTTCTGCTCTGTCAGCAACTCGAGGGCCAAGTTTCTGTCCCGGCCCTCCCGTCCTCTCCTGGTTCCCCTTTTCTGATGCTTTCTAGTCAGATTCTCATCCGTGGTTACCCTGACCTAGAGCCTCTGGTGGGCCTCACAGGGAGCCCCTTGACTTACAGGGAAAAGGGGGTACATTTTCCTTTGTTCTTAGGAGAGGACCTAAAGCTTTTATCAAAAGTTTAAAACATCCACTTGTCTGCCCTTTGTCCAGACCTGTCCTCTGAGCTCCAGGGCCACGTGTCCCCTGCCTGCCTGACATCTCGCCTGAAATCACCACCACCACCTGCACCCCATCACTCGCCCCACCCAGCCTGCTCCTCCTCCCCGTCTCCAAGGCCATGAAACGGACGCCATCCTCCTGATCACCCGCTTCCAAGCTGAGCCGCGCCCAGACCCCTCCGCCCCCCTCCCGGCCCCTTGCTCACCCACATCCTGCTCACTCCACCTGCTTCCACGCCTCCCGCGCCGGCCACGTCCCTGACCGACAGCCCTGCTCTCGCCTGGGCTGTTCAAGTAACTCCACGCCCGGCTCCCCCACGGCCAGGGGTTCTTTTCACAGACCATGGGAACCTGTGGTCAAATTCACACCGAAGGTTAGGAGCCCCTGTGGGTCACCACCCAGGGCATGGGCATTTTTAATTTGAAAGAAAATGTCAATGGAGTTAATATGGGGTGAGGGACACTTGTCGGGTCTGAAGATTGAAATGCCTGCTCTCTGTGCGTAGGCAGCGGACAGGAGGGAGAAGGACTGAGATGGGGATAGAGACCCTCAGGGAGCACCCTCCCTCTTCCCAGACTTGTCCCCGGGTCCAGCTACCCCCTTCTTGGCGCTGGTGGCCCCGGCCCCGCTGGTGGGGCTAATGCGCTGAGATTGCTGAGGGTGCCCCACGGACTGGCACCTGGTCTCAGCACAGACCCACGCGGAGCAAAGGGACACGCCCACCAACTTCTCCCCCAGGCTCTGCCCCCAGCCCCCACCCTGAGCTCTCTTGTCCAAATTGCGATCAGGAGTCAATGATGCTCCCAGAAAAAGGAACCCGCTGAGTAGTGGGGTGCAGGGGGAGGCTGCTGACTTCCTCTCTCAAGCCAGCTAGGTCACTGTCAGCGCCGCGGGCACTCGCTCTCACGGCCAGCATGTGGCAGCTGCTGCCGCCCGCGGTCCTGCTGCTTCTGGGTAAGTCGGTTGCCGCTGAGGGAGACACTCAGGACGCCCTGGGACCAGCCCGGACGGGACCCTCCTCGCGTCAACAGGCAGCCCTAGACTTGGCTCGTAGGACAAACCGTTCGCAGGCTAGAGACAGGGAGGACGCCGGCTCATTCGGGCCCATCAGGAGGTGAAGGGGCTGCAATGCCTCCTCCTCCATTTCCCCACCTGCAGGTTGAAGAGTAGGGACCAGACAGACGGCCCCTAAGGTCTGTCTCTTCCACGGTGACATCCTAGGGTTCCTCTCTAAGACTTTTAATCTCTATTCTTCCAAGGGGACTTGTGTTGAGGTTGTTTCTAGGCTTTCGTTCAGGGAAATCCAATCCGGATCATTAATTAGGGAGTTTGAACAGGGTCGGAGGAGTAACGGGGTGCTTTTGAAAACAGGGATTTGGGTGGACCATGGGGCGGGGCGGGAGTCACAGACGGAGACCAGAGTGTTGGCCGCGGGACAGCTGGCCACTGTCTGTATCCTGGCTCAGGCGCCGCGGGCCCAGGGGCAAGGCAGGCAGAGGCAGAGCTCAGCCCCTGCAGCCGCCACTCCCTGCTGTGCTCAATTTTTGTTTCACTCTTTTCTCTGCAGCGTCAGCCAGCACCGGAGCTGGTGAGTCTGCTTCCCGGTGTCAGACTGATCCCGTGAGGCCCTCAAGGACGCAGTAGCCACGGGCTGTGGCCACGGGCTTGGCCCTACGCACCCTAACCAGTTTTCCTCAACATAAAGAGGCCAAAAGTGGGGCCAAGTGCCTCCAAGCCCAGATGCTCTAAGGCCGAGTCCCAGACCAAGGCGGAGCTGCCAACTGTGGTTTGGCAGGGCGGGTCGGGAATACAGGGCGGGGAACCCCCCACCTCCACCCCCCACCCTGCCTCGCCCACATTCTCCTGTCTCCTCAGAAGGTGTCCAGAAGGCTGTGGTGTCCCTGCATCCGGAATGGGACAGGCTGCTCGAGAGCGACAATGTGACTCTGAGGTGCCAGGGGGCCCAGGCCGAGGGGAACAGTTCCACACGGTGGTGGCACAATGGTCACCTCCTGCCAAACCGGACCTCCAGCTACTTCATCGAATCAGCCAGCGTGAACGACAGCGGGGAGTACATGTGCCAGACCAGCCTCTCCAATCTCAGCGACCCGGTGCAGCTCCAAGTCCGTGCCGGTGAGTGGGTGATGGGGACGAGGGGGGTCGCCAATAAAGAGTGACACAAGAGGCGGGAGAGGCTGGGGCAGAGCCAGGTGATATTCAAGGGGTTAGAACTAAGATGCGATTATCCGTGACCCCTGTGAGGTGTGTCAGCGTTGGGTCCTACCCCAGGTGGGCCGGGTGTCACACCTGGCAAGCAGAGACACAGGACGGCTGCCCAGGGCCGGGAGCAGCACCCGCAGAGGACATACAGCAGTATTCATTGCATGAAGTAAAGGATCTGTTCTCAGGACCTCCATCGCCTTCTCACTCTCAGGCCCACAAAGCCCTAAGCTGCCCCACACCACCCCTAATGGCCGAGGGTCATCTCTCTCCATCAGCACCACACTCAGGCTCCCAGCATACAAGCTGCCCTGACACACATATCCTGGTGCGCCCTGCACAGCGACTGTGGAGTGTAAGGGTGTGGTCGGCGGGCTCAGGCACAGAGGCAGGTAGGGAGCACTGAGGCGGGACCCTCCTGTGTCCCTGGAATTGCACCGCAGGCCTGTGCCTACCGAGTCCCCTCGCAAGCCTGACTTCAGCAAGGCTGCCCATGTGTGCATGGACACGGGCAGAGCGAGCCCACAGGGAGAGCCCATGTGAGCGGGCCTGCCTCAGAGCTGGGCAGCTCTGGGTGGCTCCTCTGCTGCTGCCCGTCCCGGAGCTGACACTCACACACAGAGCTCCAGGAGTTATTAGCAGGCTGGGAGCAAAGTGCCACCTAAGACCAAATGAAATGGGGATTTGCCAACAGGAAACAATAGAAAAGTCAAGTCTACGAGTTGTCAGTTTGTCTTGAACTTGACTCTAGGGCCTGGCTTCAGAAGGCCAGTCAGTGAGGACTGTGTTAAGCTTCGACCATGACTGCTAGCTTCTCCAGGCGGGTCCCGGTCTCCCTTGGGGACCCATCTCCCTCCTCTCCTCTGAGGGCCTTTCCTCTTCATCATTTCCCTTTGGCGGCCCCCCGGCTCCGGCTCGCAGTCCCTGCAGTACCGACCGTGCAGCACTCACCACTCTCAATTGGAATATTTCTAAGTCTACACTACAGGTTCTTTGGGGTTAGGATCACGGGTCCTGGTCATCTGGGTTTGCACATCACAGGTACATACTTGATAAAATGTTTGTCAAGTGAACACATGAGTCTAGGACAGGACAAACAGGAACAAGTGTGTCTCCCAAAAGTCACCAGACCACATGCACATAATCTTACAACCAGCACGTTATGCTACTAACGCTTCGTCTCTGCTCACGCGGTAAGTGGGTGTACAGGATGTGTCCTCTTCTGCTAAGTGGTCTTTATTGATAAATAACGAAGGTTACCTTCTATTGGGCAAATATTCCAGGTAGAGAATTTTTATGTTCTACCAATTTTGTTTAGCATAAGGTCACATATTCTTTTTTTTTTTAATATATTTTATTGATTTTTTCACAGAGAGGAAGGGAGAGAGATAGAGAGTTAGAAACATCGATGAGCGAGAAACATCGATCAGCTGGCTCCTGCACATCTCCCACCGGGGATGTGCCCGCAACCCAGGTACATGCCCTTGACCGGAATCGAACCCAGGACCTTTCAGTCTGCAGGCCGACGCTCTATCCGCTGAGCCAAACCGGTTTCGGCGGTCACATATTCTTTAAATTATAATTAGTTTTATTGTTTTGTTCTTCTCACAAAAGCCATTTGGGTTTTCATAAATGTGTGAAAGTAAAAGGGAGAAGCTGTGTCAATATTTGAAAACGAAGTGTGGTCTTCCTTCCTGTTTTCTGTGGGCGCATCCTTTTTGCCTTCTCTTTTTAGCCTAACATTGTCTCATGGATGTTTCTCATGTCATTTTAATATATTTGTTTTGATTTCAGAGAGAGGAAGGGAGAGGGAGAGAGACAAACACATTAATGATGAGAGAGAATCATTGCTCGGCTGCCTCCTACACCCTCCCCGCCCCCCCCACCCCCCCCACACACACACTGGGGATCAAGCCCGCAACCTGGACATGTGCCCTGACTGGGAATTGCACCGTGACCTCCTGGTTCATACGTGGACGCTCAACCACGGAGCCACACCGCCGGGCTCTGTGTCATTTTAGAGATTGTCTGCAATTCACCTTTAATGGTCCAGCTGCGCCTCTGGCCCTGAGTCCACGTTCTATCCGCGTGGATTCTGGTTACTGGGCGAGGCCGCTAAGAACAGTGTCCTGGTGACTAGGAGTTTCTCTCCTGAAGGCTGGGCTCGCAGGCCCGGTGGCCCCTCGGAAACTCCCAGATCCCGCCGCACCCCCAGCCCTGCCTCCCTCTCCTCCTGCCCATTAGTCCTTCAGGGCACCGGCAGCCACTCCTGGGCCCACCAGTGGCCTTGCCCTGTTGCTGCCTCGAGTCTCGATACTCCTGCAGCCTCCTTCCCACTGAAGACGGCCTTTCCCCTAATGCGGCAAAGCGCCCTGTCCAGGGGCTGTTGACGGGGTGATCTGGGCTGTGCCGGGCCCCTGTCCCCTGCCTTCCAACCCCAGGCAGCCCCGCCCGGGCAGGTGGCTTCCCGCCTGCCTCTCGCTTCCCCTGGCCCGAGCCTCTGTGCTGAGTCCGACCCTCGCCCGTTAGACAGAGGCCTCGGCGTGGCCCCAGCTGATGGGAAGGGCTGCCGGCTGCCTCCCACCTGCGGGATCTGGGGCGCGAGTCCCCCACCCGCGCTTGGCGCTGACGCCTGTCCTGGGGCTGGCGGTCTGTCTTCCAGCCTGGCTGCTGCTGCAGGCCCCGCGGTGGAAGCTGCGGGAGGGGGACCCCCTGGTGCTGCGGTGCCACAGCTGGAAGAACAAGCGCGTGGGCAACGTCCAGTACTTCCAGGACGGCAGAGGCCGGCAGTTCTCCTACAACAACTCCGCCTTCCACGTCCCCAGGGCGTCCCGCAAGCACAACGGCTCCTACTTCTGCCGGGGCCTCATCGGGAAGCTGAACGTGTCCTCCGAGGCGGTGGTCGTCCTGGTGGAAGGTGAGGGCTGCAGGCGCACGGGCAGACCTGGGCGCTGCTAGGCCACTGAGTCTCTCTGAACCCCGATTTCTGTAACCAAGACAACTGACGAGTGTGGGGCGCCCTCCTTGGGCGGGACGCTGTGCTGAGGGCGTCGGCAGGAGGGCCCCCTGCTGGTCACGGACCCCAACAGCGGGTGAGCTGGGCAGCGCTGACTGCGGCAGGAGGAGCTGGGGGCGGGGGGTCACCTGTCCTCAGGTCACAGCAAAGGGCGAAGCCATGGATGCAGCCGCTCGACCCGTGTGAGCGTTGTTCACGCACCTTCTCAGGTCGGCGTGGGCCCAGGACGGAGCAGAGCTCCCCCTCCGCCAGAGCCCCGCGCGCGCGCGCGCGCGCGCACACACACACACACACACACACACACACACGTGTGCGCGTGCACACAGCTCCTGGACTTCCTGGTGCCACAGAACGTCCACCTGGAACCGGACAGAGACCACATAGCAAAGCGGAGATAGATCCACACCTGATGAGACTGTAACACAGCAAAGCCATCATTTGTATAAAAATAATCTCATTGCGTTTAAATTTAAAGTAAAAAACACCCTCAACTGGTGAGGGAAAGAAAAGACAAATAATGAAGCAACTGGGTCAGAATGCTAGCACTTAGTGAAGCAGGAAAAGACTATGCGAGAGTTCTTTGTATGATTCTGGTAACGTTCCGTCAGTTTGAAATTAAATCAAAATAAGTATAGCCTTGTCACCGTGGCCCAGTGGTTGAGCATCAACCTATGAACCAGGAGATCATGGCTGATTCCTGGTCGGGGCACACGCCCGAGTGTGGGCTCGATCCCTGATCATGCAGGAGGCAGCTGATCAATGATTCTCTCTCATCACTGATGTTTCTATCTCTCTTGCCCTCTCCCTTTCTCTCTGAGATTTTATATACTATAATATATATATAATTTCTATATTTTAAATCCAGTAAAATGTTTCCAGTCTATAGACAGCAGCAAGAAATGAGTCTAAAGCTTGTCATCAGGGGCTCAGGGGTGAGAGCCGGGCCCCACCTCACTCCCTTTGGCCAATAAGGAGCAAATGTCAATGGCTCGCTGTTTGTCAGATTTCCTTTAGCGACAAGGAGCAATGTGGGGGAGAGCAATGAGTGTAATTTTGAGACACTGAAATTAAGAAATAATGTTCTCACACCAACTTAAACTTTGACAACTTTCACAAATCCACACCAAACCCAGCATCCTAATGTGCTTGGCCCTCCCAGTGGCGGCCTCAGCCCAGCCAGGCAGATGCCAGTGGGAGGAGCAAAGGCAGGTGATTCCAAATTTCTGCCTTAACAACAGCCATTTCTCCGCCCTCTGCCCTCGCACAGCGCTGGCCACCTCACGCGTCTCCCCAGGGCACCTCGTCCTGCTCTGCCTGCTGCCGGGACTCCTATTTGCCGTGGACACGGGGCTGTACTTCTCTGTGCGGAGAGGCCTCCGGAGCTTATTGAGGAACAGGGCAAATGACAACGTCACTTGGAGCAAGAGCCTCCAGGAA